TATCTGTATCTGTATCTGTATCTGTATCTGTATCTGTATCTGTATCTGTATCTGTATCTGTATCTGTTTAGTCCCTATCATCTGTGCCAGTATCTACGAATACCCTGAGAGCCCTACGACGGGTTCGAACCCAAGGACGAATTATCTCCAGGCTGTTTGTTAAACTGTGCAGGTAATTATTAAACCTTCCCCTGTGTTCTGTATATAAACCCTAGAATGTTTTCCATCAAGAATTACAGAAAAGTTTATCTGATCTGAAAGGGCGCTTTTTCAACTTATAAATAAGACGCTACCAACACATTATTATTAATTTAGTTTAAAGGGTATAACGTCACTAGAAATTACACTGTTTCTTTTACGACTTAAGGAACTGAGTCTTTGTAACAAAATCAAACTTTCTAAACCCTTTATCTTTGCAACCTTTTATATTTCAAACTTTGATTATTTGATCTAACAGAGTTCAAAGTTTTAAATATCTAAGGTCTACTTCATTGGTTTGCAAAGATATATGTAGGGAGTGGAAAATCGGAGTGTGTTTCAAAGACTCAATTCCTTGGGTTGGGGTGTCTGTTTGTTTGTGTGTATCCGATAAACGTCAAAACAGCTGAACTGATCGGCTCAAATATGTGTGATATTTAATATGACCCCCAAGGAAGGGTTATGGCTGGTCAAAATTAAATTGTGTTTTAAAAAATGAAGATTTTTTTTAAATTTTAGAGACTCAACAAAATTAACAGAAAAGTTTCAAAACTAAGTTTTAAAATTCAAAGAAAAAATTTCGGTTTGAAACGCTAACATTGGTATAAAAGTTTGGGGCGCGATGATAATTTTATGTTTGATAAACGGACAGAAAAAATGCCCAACTCTAGTTAAAAGTTTATTTATAAATTGGATAAAACTGAATTATATTACATAAATTTATCCACATTTGTCTAACTCTCAAGGTTTTGTTTACAACATGTTAGGTATTATGAACACGTCTGCTGGGGTTCGAATTTTATATTAGACGTCATGATATTTAAGTCCAAGGTTTTATATGAAAGTGTTTTTATGTTTCTTTGTGGGTATATATTTATATATATATATATGTAAACGTTTTAGAAAAACATTTGAATGCTTACCTTATTTACAACTTTTAACCGTATTATATAAATACTAGCTTGGGAACCCAGCGTTGTCATATGTCCAGGGTACTTATACTCTCGCAGTTTCCTCGTAATTGGTCTTTAATTAGATTTTTAGCTATTTTTTCTTATAAAAGTCGATCAAC